CCTAAATGAGACCAAAATCCGAACTTTACACCCCTAAGCGAGACGACGAGCATCCCCACCCCTTATCTCAAGAATGTGCTGTTTATCTGGGAAGTTTGATAGTTTAATAGTATCTTCGTCTTTTTAATACGTTCAGGAATTTGGCACCGAGAAAAGGTTCCGTAAAGAAGGGTTGACGATAAATGGGAGTTGATGACTCGGGACAAAAGAAAATGTCCGTTGTCGGTATTAACCGGTTTCCGCATTATGGCAGTTAATTTTAGAGAAAATGATGCAGAAAGGACCGAGCTTACGCGAATTAGCCCCGCAGCACTTATCAACTTTTTACTCCAAAAAATGCGGCGTTCATTTGAGGATGATGCTAAATACTATGGTTATACCGCTTAGTAACGTATTTACGCAAATAAGCGCCGCGGTGCTTATTAATTTTTCTCGCGCTTATTCGAGTAATCGCTGTAACTGTTAACTTAAGAGTCAAGTAACATTTAGGGCAAATTGTTACTACATTTAGGACTTAATTACATTTAAGAATAAATGTTACTACATTTAGGGTCGTTTAGTACAATAAGCTTTTGGTCAAAAAAAAAATTGAAAACTGTCCGTTATACACCGGTCGCCGTAGAGTGGGGTTCCACTGTAATTTATGCTACTTTCTGCAATATTTTTTTAGCTGTCGCTTATTCAATCAATCCATCAATCAATAGACTTTATTTTAAGAGGGGAGCACGTGACAGTAGTGAAAGTGATGACCTTGTGGCCCTCTATAGAATAAAACTTAACATATAAAAATTAGCAATGACTTACACTAGAAATATTATAACATGCAAAACGAAATAGAAATATCTATTAATTGTACATCTTTCTATATATCCAATACTATCAATACTATCATAAAATTAAGCAACAGACCACACTTCCTATGGGTTTACCGGTGTGATAACCCACGCGGGATGTTGGGAGAACACGAGAAAAGCTTGAAAATCACAAGCTGAAGGCGAGTGATTTACAAGCTTTTCGAGGGTTCTCCTAACATTCCAAATGGATTATCACGCCCCTAAACCCATAGAAAGTGCGGTCTATTGCTTTTATAAAATAACTTTAAGTTTTCTATGAGTTTACCGGCACAATAAACCTGCTCCCGTTGAGGCTTTGTGTTGGAGACCGAACTATCGGGCAAATACACTTTACCATTTGAATTTTTTATATATATCTTCTTCTATAACTCTTCTTGCTGTGAGGATCAGTTTACTGCAGTTTTTCTACTTAGGAAGTGTTCACTGATCCAGCTCACCCCATCAAGATGCGGCCGGCTGTCCTCACTAGTAGTTTGATGCTGTGGTTTTGCCTACATACCGTTTTTATTCGAATAAGCGCCCAACCTCGAATTTGCGCCCACCTCGAATAAGCGCTCACCCCCAACCCCACCCAAACCCCCTCCTTCTGTACCTTCTTCTTACAAACTTGGAGATTTCGGAAAGCGAGCTTGGAGGCAGCGCCAGAGAATTCACTTATTGACTAGAGTAACAATGAGATTGAAATTAGAATTAAATTAGTACTAATAAGAGAATTTCCCGAAGTCGGAGTTTTCTTCAGCGTACTTTACGGAAACCTTGTTTTTTTTATATACATCTTCGCGTTTTGTTTCAAAATAAACATGCTACACTTGCTGAAAATGGTAAAAATTTGATAAGCGCCCAGCCTCGAGTAAGCGCCCACTCTCAAGGTCCGAAAATTTCATAAGCGTCCAGGGCAGTTAATCGAATAAATACGGTAATTGTTTATGAGGATCTACAGCAATGCAGTGAATAACCGTTTTAAAAAATGCGATAAAATCTGTTAGACTTCAAAAAAGCTATCTGCCTTGTTGATGAGTTGGAAAAAATACTTCCATCGACGAATTCTCCTCAAAAGATTCGTCCACAAGTAGACCACTTTTAAACACCTATTTTTAACCGCCTCATTGAGCCCTGACAATTAATTCAGGAATGTTCTGCCAGCATAAGTGGACTTCAGTTGGCCCTAATCAGTAATCCTAAACAAAAAGAGCTAACAGAAAGCCTCAGTGCATTCCATTTAAATGAATGGTCTGAGAAAATAGTAACGAAATAGTACCATGTGAAAGAAATGCTGACGAGGTTTTGTTTGAATGGTTACACCATGGCGACACCATCCATACCCTGCAGGGTCTGACTCAAAAGTTAGAGCTGCATGCTAAAATAAATAGAACCATGCCAAAGTCGCTAAAGAGCTTTTTCAATTGAATGGCAAAACCATAGGATTTCATCCACAGATTCAAAAGTTAGAACTACATACTAAATAGAGAGTGCCATCTGAAAATACTGCTGAAGAGGCTTCATTGAATGGTCACACCATAGGATTTCATCCCCAAACTCAAAAGTTAGAACTACATACTAAATAATATAAATAATACCATGTGAAAGTACTGCTGCTGTTTTTAATATTTTGCAAAGAAATGTTTTATCGCTTTTTTATACAGACGTCTCGCCTGCAAGCATCAAGAGTTGTGAACTACGAGCTTCCTGCTCAAGTGAGTGTCAGTACTCCACTCAGAAGACAGTGGATCCAAGCTCTAACGCAACTGTAGGGTGCTCGATCATGAATAAAGGATCAACACAAGACTTGACCCGGAAACAAGTTAGAAAAGGATCAACACAAGACTTCACCTGGGAACAAGTTAGACGAGAGATTCAGGGCAGCAACAATGCGTATGATCTGGTGCTACAGCAGCAGCAGAATCCACATTGTTCGTGCACTCACATAACCCTCGCACGTAAGTACAACTTTCTCTAGAGTTTTGTCTTTATCTCATGAATAAAATGTACAGAAATCTCATCATCTGCCATCTTTTGTATTCTTAATGCGATAGAAATAACAGACTCACGTATCGGTTTTAACCTGTTCGTCATGCTCTAGACTAATTTAACCGGTTTTAGTTATTTTTAGGTGGATGATGTCATAGTTTTTATTAATTATGTTCGTCATATCGTTATGTGGGTATGATGCCACTGGTTATTTGTAGGAGTCGTATCCTTATTTGGGTATGATGCTGTCTGAGCTACGTTTTGATTGGTGGACATCTCTCAGGAAGCAATTTGGTTGTGTTGGTTTTTGTGCTGTACAATGTTAGGTAGCTTAAGCAACGACGACGGCGATGGCAACGAGAACGGCCGAGAAAAGCAATAGGTTTAGGCTGCGTTCCCTTGGGAAATATGGATTTAGATTTTAAAATCCGGATTTTGGATTTGCAATCGATTTCAACGATCGGATTTCAACGCTGAGATATCTGTTCTTGGATTCCCTTTCTTTCCGTGTTGTTTTTGGGAAATCCGAAAAAGGATTTGACAGGAGCCCCTGGATTTGATTAGCGGTTCTTTTAAGAAGAACAGCGGACTTGCACGCGCACGCATAATCATGAGCAAAAGGAAGACCACTGTTCACGAGAATAGTTTTGCAAATCCTTTTTCGGATTCAGTCCTAATCTCTCGGAGCAACTAACCAGAACAAAGGATTTTGCTCATCTTGCCTGGTGGCATAACCGGTCTTATGACTGACACTTAGGGAAGAGCGGATAGAAAATAATAATGCGCGAAAACGTGTGGGGGCTGGTGATAAACGAGAGAGCGGGCAAGCAGCGAAAAAGTGAGTCCCGTCTCTCCCCAGCCACCAAATTTTATTCGATTCGCTTTCCCCACTGTCTAGGAGCCTATAACAGGCTAGTGCCTGTCAGGCACATTAACGGCCAACTCTCCCGGCTCCCGGTCTTCCGTACGGGTCACCAAATCTCCCGGATAAAATCGAGTTATGAGCTTTTCTGTACTTTAATTTAGAATTTATCCCATTTGCTTCCAAAATTCAAATTTCCTCTGATTTATATTTCGGTTTCTGGGGTATTTCTGTGCGTATTTCAATTTCGCCATTACAATTAAGTCCATACTTCATGTAAGACTTAATATAGTGTCTTAAGCCATTCCCATGTGATAACTTAGGGACTGGATCGAATTGTGCTTATGAGGGGCTCGGGGCCGGGGAGCAGGGGGGGAGGGAGGTGAGGTGGGTTGTTGATATTCGGGGTAATGCAAAAGAGAGAGTGTCCAGATTTTAGATTTCCAGAGGTTGGCATCTCTGCAGGCATAAAGTGTGAATATATTCCATTTTCTGACCATTTCCCTCAGGTCCGGTTCAGAGAGTTTTCAAGCCCAGTTCCCCAGTTTGGTTTAACGAGAAAATTCAGTTAAACTGTATCTTCAAGGGATGGCCTCGTCCTATTGTAGTTTGGATCAACCCAGATCGTAACAAAATCAAAAATGGATCTGACGGTTTTGAAATCTACGAGGAACTTATCGGAGACGACAAGTTAAGTTCAGTTCTAAAGAATCCTCACATGCAAGAAAAACAAGGCGGCGAATATTGGTGCACTGCAGAGAACAGCATTGATGGCTGGTCAAGTAAATTGTCTAAGGTTACTGAGCTGATATACGAATGTAAGTAGCCTTAGTTGATACTTAAAGGGGAAATATGTCTCGAGGATATTGTTTTCGATCAATTCTGCAGCAATGAAGTCATTTCTTAGTGCCTTTAACCATACACAAAATGCTGCAGTAGAGATATGAAGAAGATCCCGGAGGGGAGACTCCGCATATGAAAGGGGTGGGGATGCTCGTCGGAAATTTTGAATTAAACCCCTAAAGGAGACCGATCTGGGCGTGGCCCAAGCTTTTTTTGACCCCTAAAAGAGACCATGTTGAAACACAGACAATATATATATTTTTATATTTTTTCACGTGCAACTCTACGAGACCTTCACGGCTAAATGTGATGGCGTTTTGCCCAGAACACCCTAAATGAGACCAAAATCCGAACTTTACACCCCTAAGCGAGACGACGAGCATCCCCACCCCTTATCTCAAGAATGTGCTGTTTATCTGGGAAGTTTGATAGTTTAATAGTATCTTCGTCTTTTTAATACGTTCAGGAATTTGGCACCGAGAAAAGGTTCCGTAAAGAAGGGTTGACGATAAATGGGAGTTGATGACTCGGGACAAAAGAAAATGTCCGTTGTCGGTATTAACCGGTTTCCGCATTATGGCAGTTAATTTTAGAGAAAATGATGCAGAAAGGACCGAGCTTACGCGAATTAGCCCCGCAGCACTTATCAACTTTTTACTCCAAAAAATGCGGCGTTCATTTGAGGATGATGCTAAATACTATGGTTATACCGCTTAGTAACGTATTTACGCAAATAAGCGCCGCGGTGCTTATTAATTTTTCTCGCGCTTATTCGAGTAATCGCTGTAACTGTTAACTTAAGAGTCAAGTAACATTTAGGGCAAATTGTTACTACATTTAGGACTTAATTACATTTAAGAATAAATGTTACTACATTTAGGGTCGTTTAGTACAATAAGCTTTTGGTCAAAAAAAAAATTGAAAACTGTCCGTTATACACCGGTCGCCGTAGAGTGGGGTTCCACTGTAATTTATGCTACTTTCTGCAATATTTTTTTAGCTGTCGCTTATTCAATCAATCCATCAATCAATAGACTCTATTTTAAGAGGGGAGCACGTGACAGTAGTGAAAGTGATGACCTTGTGGCCCTCTATAGAATAAAACTTAACATATAAAAATTAGCAATGACTTACACTAGAAATATTATAACATGCAAAACGAAATAGAAATATCTATTAATTGTACATCTTTCTATATATCCAATACTATCAATACTATCATAAAATTAAGCAACAGACCACACTTCCTATGGGTTTACCGGTGTGATAACCCACGCGGGATGTTGGGAGAACACGAGAAAAGCTTGAAAATCACAAGCTGAAGGCGAGTGATTTACAAGCTTTTCGAGGGTTCTCCTAACATTCCAAATGGATTATCACGCCCCTAAACCCATAGAAAGTGCGGTCTATTGCTTTTATAAAATAACTTTAAGTTTTCTATGAGTTTACCGGCACAATAAACCATAGGTTTTTAACCAATCAGAACGCGCGTACTATCTCAGTTATTTCATAATAAGTTATTTGTAAGTGATCATGAGTTATTCAATGCTTATTATATTTGGCTCATTATTCCAAACAGGCCCGTGGCCCATAAACCCAAAGGTTTCTTCTTCCGAGGTTACGGCAGATACGTCTTCCAACAAAAGCTTTAAATGCATGATTGACGTGGACCCGGACTATTGTGCGGATGTACTAGAGCTACAGTGGCGATTCAACGACAGTTCAGCGCCAATAAAAAGCGGGAAAAAGTATAAAATACAAGAGAAGAATACCAACAGCAAGTGCAAAAAAGAGTTTACCCTGACTATTAACGACGTCACTGTGGAGGACAAGGGAAATTACAGCTGCCAATCAATTTGCTACGAAGAAACCACATTCGCTGTATTTGAGTTAAAAGTAAAAGGTGAGACATTAAGCAAATTCTTAACTAACCAAGCGCCCTCATTTGCTTATTGAAGTCACGTGCCATCTTTGAATGAGGCTGTTTCCCGCCATAAGTCTTCTAGCAGACAATTCGCCCCAAGTAAGGGAATCCAAGACAATCTTGACTTATAGATTCCACGCCATAGATTCCGGATATCAGGTACTGGATTTGCCTGAGAACTTGTACTCCAGATTCCAATCGATCGTGGGATTCCAGATTCCTTTAGCTGCATTCCGGATTCCACAGTCTGGGATTCCTAATTTTACCAGCTAAAATTTTCCGGATTTCGAATTCCACAAGCAAACATTTCCCAGATTCCGAAATCTGAATTTCCTTATATGGGGCGATTAAGCAATTTAAAATATGTGACGTCACGGGAAACGTCCATTTAATTTCTGTTAACGTTAATTTCCGCGCCGTTAGATGTAATTTACTGTAGCCTTAATTTCCGCGACCTTAATTTCCATTATTTTGACCCTAATCTCTCAATACCTTCTGGCATTCTTGACACCTAAGAAAGAGGAGTACTTCTTGTCAGGGAAAGGTTCCGTCAGTAACAGTGAAACTGTGCAGAACTTGAAGTGGCCAGATTTCTTCGCTTAACCCCTTCGTACGTGTAAGGAAAGAACCAAGAAATTAAGTTTAACTAATTGCTCCTGATGTCTCAACAAGTTTCGTTTCGTTAATTTCCTTCATTTTGAGATGTTATTCTCTCTTTCGCGTTCATTTCTTTCATTGGGAAGCCGTTTTCTACTAAATTCGCGTTAATTTCCAATATTTCCAATTTCATGGAGCGTTAATTTCCTATAATGTAAGGTATATAGTTCGGTTATGATCGCCAAGGCGAGGAATTTAAGAATGCGACGTAGGATTGAAACTTTTACGTTCACTTGCCGACAGATTTCTTTAATATGTTTTTGGAAAGTGAGAGAGTCGTCGATGGTTTCTCCGAGAAGCTGGATATGGTTAATACTGACTAATTGATTACTCATTACATTAAACGGGGATGGCAAAGTTGCTCTGTTGAAGATGATGGATTGGAATTAAGCATGAAAGTATACCATCAGTAGACCATCTGCATGCAGTCTAAGAGAAATCGTACTACTTAAAAAATGACGTCCTTTATAAGTACAGTCAACTATTTGTAAGACGGACACCTTGGGGACCTGCAGTAAGTGTCCGTCTCGGAGAGATGTCCTTCAAATAGAGAATCAAATAAAGGAAGTAAAGAAAGGCAGAGACCAATTCTAAGTGTCCGTTTTACAGAGGTGTCCGTCTTATAGAGGTGTCCGTTAGGAGAGAGTAGACTGTACATTCCAAAGAAGTGGGCCTATAATGGAACCCAGGGGAACACCTTGCTTTACAAATTTTCAGTCTGATCAATCTTGAAATATTGCACGACGTTGAAAAGCGAACGTTTATTTTTACACTAGAACTCTTTGGGTTGTATTATAAGCAACTGGTCCAACGAGAAAACAATTTAGTTTTTGTCACTGATTTCAATGCCTACAGTTGCAGAGTTGCGAGGAACATAGACTTATTAAAGACCATCGCGAACTCACAAATAAAATTGGAATTATAGGACGAGGAGCAATGAGAGTCGGATGTACTCGCAAGCTACCGGTTTCGCGTTAGTTGCGCGGAGGCCATTTTCCTCTTTCGCGCGTTAGGTAAACAGAGGGTACGCACATGGCCTATCTTGTCATAATTTGCTAACTAAAACTAACTATAGGACTCAATTATGACTAACGGAACTAACCGGTTTACTGTACACAAATCTCAGAAATCACTGGCACACAAACTGACCCTTACACTGACTTATTTTTTTCAGATGCTGAACGGACCTCGATGAACGCTGTTTAGGCAGAATTTTCACGGTTTATGAAACATCAGGGGCCCATTTCTCTTAAGTACCGATAATAAACGGGCCCGGGAAACAGTTGTTATGAACATTTAAGATCGAGGTTTCATTAGTTTTCGCTTTTTCGTGTTCTTTACATTTTCATTTGAAAATGTTTTATTTGGTTTCGGGCCTGAAACGTTACCGGGAATTTTGAGAAAGGGGCCAAAGAAGAGAAGAGTTAGGGAATAGTTTTCTTCCGTGGGAAGTTTTCTTTTGATTCATCTAATAATGTTTTGGTTGTTAGTTTGATTGTTTTACACAGATAGTAACAGTAGAAACGCTCTGAAGTATAAAGTAAATGATACAACTATAAAAAGTTGTTAAAAGCTTATCTTCCTATTGTTGTTTGACAATAAATTTTACTTCGGGTTGAAACAGTCACTCTCTTTTTCTTTCCCAACTACGCGCGCAGAGGTCAGACTCAAGTAGATTAAGGCCTCGGTCTAAGTCAGTTATAGTTTTTATACACATATTGCAAAAAACCATTGTTAAAGATAACAACAATAATAATAACAAAATCAACAATCTCAAAAAACTGTAACGTATTGGAAGAAAAATTCCCAGCATGCACTGTGTAAAAATGAAAAGGTATTCAACAACAGAGCAGCATTAAAGAAAGTATTCCGGCTTTAATATCCATGTAATATCCATTGCAAAAAAATAAATAAATAACCAAACACTACAGAAAAGAAAATGATATACAAAATATTTCATTCAGACATTCATGAGGCTAACTACAATACCTATAACAAAATTACTAAATATGGTTATTCTTCCATACACAATGTGTTTTGAATTCTTACGGAAGTGCAGCCAAATCCCTATTAAGCAGTCATCCTCCTCGGCGGTCACCTGCGAGAGTCGCTACTTCCCGAGGGTGACATCTTAGTAGAAGTTTGACTGTACATTGTAATTCAAAAATGGAACCAATCGAAAAACACACGCATCACAGGCAACTCTCGAATACGACGACCAGGACCACCAGAGGGGTAATGTGATCGACTAAAATAACTGAGTCGACATTGTTAGCATTCTGCTTGATTTTTTTAAAAACAAACCTGAATGTGAAGGTAATTTTTTGATTCTTTGTTACTGTATTATTACGCTTCGCGTTTGGGTACAAAAAACTTGCGCCATTCTCTCAATGAATCAAACATAAAACCTCAAAACTTATCGCGATTTCTCATATGAGTTTTGCCACGCTATTGCCTTGATAAATATACGTAATATAAATACTAAGCTTTCCTCTCCCCTGTCGGGTAGGGAGGTAATGAAACAAATGATTAAAAAATAAATAAAAACTTTCGAGGGTGTTCCTTGGCTATAAGGAGATGTCACGATGGCGACGGCACTTTGCCGCCACTGCACAACCACAACGTGAAATTACCTAATTTGGTCTAATTTTACGTTTTCTGCAGGACGCAAACAAATGAAGATGAATTTTTTTCCCGCTCTGAAGTTAGATATGGTTCTTAGGAATTCAAATCCTGGAGAGTTTGTCTACAATTGTCAAAGTGAGAAGGCTAGGATAAACGCAATGAAGTTTGAATAAACGCGAATTCTATATTATTTTTAAGTGAAGCTTTCACTAACGTTGCCGTCGTGGTATCTTAACCTCCATCAGTACCAGGGACTTTCAGGGTCTGTTTACATCACTCAGGGGGGGCCTCAGATAGGTGAGGTAATATGTGGCGGCTCACCCCACCTACAAGTATCATGTAAACGTGATCAAATTAAAATGAGAGATTATATGGACAGGCGGGTTACCCCACCTAAGCAGGTTACCTCACCTACCTGAGGTCCCCAGCTCCACGTAAACAGACCCTAAGATCCAACGACGCGATGGCAACGAGAACGTCCAAAAACAATAAACAATTGGTTAAATAAGCAAAACAAAAACTTTGCACGTGTATCACCCTTTTTGAACATTTCTTTACCGCGGCGACGTGACAATGCCTAAATGTGCGTTTTATGGAGAACGTAAAAAAGCAACGGCGAAATTTTATTTCTCTTTCTGGCCCCGGTTATTCAAACGTTGGATAGCGATATCCACCGGATAAATCATTTTTCAGCAGATAAGTATTGGGGAAACTAATTGCACTATCCACTGGATAGAGATTTATCCGGTGGATAGCGCTATTCAGCCTTTAAACAACCGAGGCCTGAACATGGATTGGGTCCCTTGGAATTCAAATTGAAGAGGGTTCGCCAACATTTGACAAAGTAGGTGGGTAGGAATAATCGCGATAAAGACTGAAAGAACACAAGATCACTTTTTAAGCGACGTTTTCGTTGCCGTCGCGTCGTTGAATCTTAAAGTCCCTATACCACTGAGGATTTGTTGGATGGAGAAGAAATAATTTCAGTAAACATAGCATCACCCCAACCCCACCCCCCCCCCCAAAAAAAAGAATCTAACCTGTTTCGAAACAGTGCCTAACCCTACTCAGTAAAGGCAGTGCTTAACCCTAATCTGTAAAAGGCAGTGCTTAACCCTAATCCGAAACGATAAGGAATACTACGTTGTGTAAACTTTATAAGGTGTCCAAGGGCCTTTCGACGGATGTTAAAAAGTGCTGACCCATTGAACGCCAGCGCCCCGCATCACTCGGCCACGCTGCGTGTTTACTCTGAGTATTCTGCTCTAGCTAAAAAGTGTCAGTTCCAAAAGTTATTTTATATATCCTAGAAGTTAACGAATTTTTAAATTTAATTCTACGCTAATATCCTGCCAAATAATTCTCTTTTAGTGAGTTTGTAGTTGTTAGTTTTTTGTATCACTAAGCTTATTTGTCATTAGCTCCATTTTCGCCATTTTCTGCTCCACACAGGTGAACCACACTCCACTGTCACAATCGTTTCATCTGATTATTTCTCTAAATATCGTTACTGTTAACTCGGACAGGCCACAGTAAAAACTGTTCTGATCACTTCTTTATCTGTTAATACAGTAAATTTGTCCACCGAAAAAAAGTTTCGGTTACCTATGTTCAGGAAGGCGCCCTACAAACACTTGTCTTTCCCATTCCTGATGAACCATATTCCCACACTCAGGAGAACTTCCAAGATTTTCCCTTCATGGAAAGTTCCTGCCTTGCATCGTCTGCCAGAAAGCTGAAAAAGTAAGATATTTCAAAGACTGATAAAGATGAATCAATGTATGTAATGTCTCGAAAGTGTGATGATAAGTCACCGACTGCTGACGTACGGAAAAGACTTGGCGGCTAGACCGTCGACTAAGTTTGGTTTATACGAACTGAGGTACAAAATTAATTTATCAGAAACGTCAAATTTTCAATCTTTTTACGGTGGGTAAGAGTACACCTGCATTCCCGTATTCAGCTGGGGGCTTGGGTTAACAAAAGACAGCGGATTAGCATGAAATTTCCCGTTCAGAAACTATAAAAGAAATAGGTACAAGCTTTCGGCGAGGCGATTTCTGGGATCTGATCGTCTGGGTGGACAAGCGTTATTTATGGATCGCCTTGAATACCATCGGCCAATCATAACTAACGCCAACCAATTGCAAACGAACCCAGAAAACACTGCACCTAAAGCTTGTCCTCATTCTCCCTAGAGTTTCTAAGTGGGCATGCGCAATTTCTCCACGCAAACAAGCCTCAACTTCGTTTTGATTTTCTTGTGTGTACTCACTGGAGTAGTGTGGGGAAGGACCTGACACGTCTCAAGTCGTCTCTTATCATACACGAAAACAAGTAACAAGAAAGGGGAGGAAGAGAATACATGCTGCTACCCCCACCTGTACCAGGAATAAGCCAATGGTACGGTTCCGAGATGCCATAAAGAATGTGCGTCAAACGTCCATAGAATGGGTGGAAAATCACCTAGCTACAATTAAAAAAAGTTGATTCAGCTCTTGTTAAAACGTTAAGTTACACCGCTATAACGAATATATCGCGACACTACTCGTTTATACAAGCATTTTGCTACTGATTACTGCAACCAATTTTGGCACCACTGCGGAAAAAAATACGCTAGTAAATTCGAACAAAATCAACGAAAGGACGATGAGGTCTACAACCAAAGATTTCTTGCAAAGAATAAGACGACCCTTAATGAATACTTGAAAAATTCAAGGAAAAAGCATCGGCTGAAAATTCATCAGAAATCTTATTACTCAACGTTTATCTAAGTATCATCTTAGAGAAGATTTAATCCTATCTTTACCTTTAATTGACCCTGTTAAATACGGTCTCAAACAACGGAGACACTTGCCGATAAGAAATGGAATGAACTGTCTATAAAACGATTCTTTTTTAAAGTTCAAAATAAAATGTAAATTAGATGGCTAAACTTTCGACTAACTAGAGATTAGTAGTTAACTAGAGATAAGTAGTTGTATTAAACTCGCACATTTTACTTTTTATAGAACGTTTCAAACTCTTGTTGTTTATACTTGTTACTTTGAACATATCCGATACTCAGTGACTAAGTAGAGCACCTATGAACATGAGCACCTATGTCATTGCAGCACATTTCCACACACATGGCTGCTGCTTCTAATTCTGCAAGTTGCGATGATAAGGAATGTAAACCTAACGTAGTACTTTGAAACACATGCAACTCTTTGAAAGCGAGTCTGTTGTTTATACTATATACTCCATATTCCGCCACTACTACGTGTTCGTCCGGGCCAATAAATGTCTATCGGTCTAAGAGGGCTAAGGCTGGAGCTTCTGCTTCGGTAATTTAAGCCGACTCCTACGAACAAACCCGCAACTTTCTGGGAAGAAGACTTTTGAGGTCACGTGTCAGAGAGTAGCGCTTGCGAATTTGGCGCAGAAAAGCAGAAACACTTCTTGTAAAGCAAAGATATTCAAGTAAAATGAGAGTTTCTTGGAAGATTCAGCGCATTAAACATTTGATCGTAGCGACCCTTTTTGTTAACGCAGACGTCTCTCCCGCGAAACTCCTGGCAAAGACGGGAAGCGATGAGAGACAGATGTTTTCGCAAGCTAGTCTGAAGTCTTTTCGCAAGCTAGTCTGAAGTCTTGAATTCACGCTTAATAAGGCTCGAAGGTTTTAATAATAAAATTTCAACAAATCTTCCTGTGCATGTTTCCACGTGGCGTCGAAGGTCATCAGTTCGATTCCGGGCATAACCTTGCATCCATTCTTTCCTTGTCGTTTGGTTTTCATTTTAGGTTGGTAATCACGTGACAAGGGCGGATAAATGTTGGGCGGTGAAACGAGAGCTCCGCTCTTCATTTAATGTGTGATGCGGAGTAGGACTGGCACGAGCGCTCTTTCCGCGCTCCGGTGCGCTTGAAGGCCTGCGAAATTTTCCTTTTTTGCAAACCGGAAATCCCGTTTTCTTTCTGTAATTTCAGGCTACAATGTTAGATGGATAAATTCGTTTCATAACAATATCAATAAACAGTTTCATATGTTTGTGTCTGTATGCCTATAAGTCAAACTTGTTGGTCGTATAATGCCAAAACTTGAGTTCAATTTGAAAGTGTTGAATACCTCCTCCTTCCACTAAATATCACCTAATCGTCTTTCGCCGTTTCGTTTGCAAAAGCTTAACACTTTTTAACCTCAATTTTTACGTATGTTAAAGGGGGATAAATTTTATATAACATACCAAAAAACTAGATTAATATATTTTGATATAGTGGCGTTGTACAGCTTCAATCTTTGCTTCTCGGGTGCAACGCGTCACGGCGATTCGCGCAATACGTCGCAAATCCGCATGTAAACAAAATTTATTGAGGTTAGTTGTAAGGCTTTTTCTCCGTTTTTCTCTCTAAAACAAAACAAAGGAAACAGTAAAAACTGAGGGAAAACTAGTTTTGAAGTTTCGAAGAAAAGAAAGACGTATGAGATGTTTTTTTTTTCAAAATTAAAAAGAAGGATGATGGTGATTGAAATTAGCATAATTTCACCTTTCACGAGCTGCACGCATTTATAAAATACAAGTCATCTTGTTATGAAACACGATCTGCTGTCTTTCAATTTTGCCATGTATGACATGGATGAGATTTTCCTTCGTGTTTTAGACAGTACTTCGTTGTTTTTGTTTTGGAATAACATCGACATTGGCGAGTAGTAGAACGAAAATATAATTCAGTGGTAGAGTCATGGAAGTAATAAGAGAAACCCTTTGAAAGAGATGTTTGTCTGCTCTAACTAAACCTCCCGCAAAACATAGCAACATTTGCCTCTCGGAGACAGCGTACCAGCACAAAGGAACGAGGAAAAAGAGCAAGAAAACAAATCAAGCCGCCATAATTAGTGACAGCGGCAGTGTCTAATGGACAAACCACATCGCAAGCCCTGACCGAAGTCGAAAACAAGCGACATTTCTAAGCAGAGTCCCAGTCCACTGCATCACACCTTTTTGCTCGGACGCGCTCGTTTTACCGCCCAACCTTTATCCGCCCTGCACGTGACAGTACACTGCCCGCCCGCCCGTCCGTCCGCCCCACAGGACAACCAGTGTTCAATCTCACACTTTCTAGCTAGTCTGGGAGCACAGGAAGACTGATATTGCACACATATTGCACATCAATGTTGTGATCAATTGACAGCTGTCAGAACAGGGTATCCGCTGACCAGTATCACCTGACCGTATCGCGGGCTCAGGTGTTGACCCAGCGAGGTCGAGTATCTTTTTGAAGGTATCCGCTGACAAGTTACTAGTTTTCAAATGATCGCAGGCTCAAGTTCAATTTTTTTTTAATTCATATGAAATATGTTGTGTGTTATATGTGCCGCACAATTAAAATTTTGATTTCAAACTGACCTCGGAAGCCAGAATTCAGCCAGTTTTTACAGGCATGCCAGTTGCTTTTTGACTTTTCTCACCAAGGTCACGCGTTGGTCGCGCTCTACGTCCAATTTTTATGCTCTGCTTGGTCAAAATTTGACAGGTGAGGTCATGCGGAAAATTTATACAGCATCTTGAAACTTGTTTACTTTGACAGCTGAAGCTGACAGAGTTTTGTGTCAACTTGTGATGTTTTTCACGGTCTTTTTCCACTGAATGTACAAAATGAAATTCAGCTACTACCAAGAGTCTTCTGTTATTCATGGCTAGTTTGTTTATTGGGTTTTTGGATGAGAAATACGTCGCTTGTCAATATTGAATGAGTGCAATTTGTATTGCAAAATTGTGAAATACTGCATTCTGTCCGAGGTCTGCATGATAAAAACAGCGCCTCATGGTACTTTTTCACCTCAGATGTGAGGCATAAAAAGTATAAAAGGTTGGTTTACACGTCCCCAGACTTGTTGGCAAGATTTTGTAAAGTAAACTTGTCGAACGCAAAAAATTCGGCCTGATTTGTTTTCCAGGCCTAATGTACTGTGATCAAGAACCATTATCAGTAAATTGCAAAACGTTTTTTTGTTGTTATTCTGAATGGCATCTGTCTACTTGCTCTTAATATTAGGGTAAAAACTTTGAGCAAAAACTATAGCTGCAACTATAAACGCCAGCTAAAAAGACTCTAAAAAAAATCTAAAACTTAATAAATGAAATAATTATCAAGCTTATTTATGTGACAATTTTTGAAATAAACGTAAAGCAGAAATCAGAAACTTTGACTGTAATTCCTTTAGAATAACAGGTAACACTAATTTTAAAAAGAAATTAACTAGCTTTGTATATCGAAATCTGTCTGGGGAAATCCAGCTATAAAAGTCAAAGTTGCAACTGAAATTCGCCGACACACAGCCGGCGCTAAAGCTGTTGTTCTTTTACCGTTCTCTGAACGACTGTTATGAATGAACACTGAGGAACAACATAATACACACAGAAGGTATTTTTTCAAAAATTTATTTCAAAAACTCAAATGTTTTTGTACTCAAATGAAATTCGCTTATTCCAGCGTAATGTGCCTGTTTAAACTCAACTAAAATTTTTAATCGATGCGATGAAAACTTCACAACAAAGCTGTCTCCAATTTGAGAAACTGCTTCATTTCAATAAAGCCTTTTTCCAGGTTCTGGATAATCATGCACCTATTAAGAAAATTCAAATCAAACATCGGAGATGAATTATTTCATTTATACTTCACATCGGAGATGTCTATTTATAAATGAAGAGATCAAAGATAAAATGGCAAAAAGAGATCAAGCTCATAAAATCGCGCGAGAGACAGGTGCTCTTGTGGATTGGCAGTATTATCGGGACTGTCGTAATGACGTAAAGAGGGTATTACGAGTAGCGGAGAAGGAGTATGTCCAGAATGAGGTTAAAAAGAATCAGAGCTCTAGTGAACAGTGGAAGGTGATACGGAATTGCATACCAACTAGGGAGAAGTCGCGCCCAGCTTATTCTAGGGATATGAAAGAACCTGCGACGGAATTCAATGAATTCTTTAAGGAGGTGGGAGTACGTGCCGCAGAGGAAGCCAAAAGACTCGCATCAGTCAATGGTCTAACTACTTTACATCAAGAACTCCCTGTCAGTTTTGTACCCGAAGAAGATGAGTTTCGATTTCGGGCTGCTACCTCTTTCGAGGTCAATAGGATTGTACAGTCATTTCCTTCAAATAAAGCACCAGGGAAAGATAAATTACACATGGCAGTGGTGAAAGATGCTCTACCGGCCATCCTCCCGATTTTGACCGAGATCATAAACAGTTCACTTTTGACATCTGTATTTCCCTCACCATGGAAAGAATCTGAAATTGTTCCAATTCTAAAGGATGGTGGAGATCCGGAAGTAGCCAACG